CATTTTGCAATAACTAAAATCACTGAAATGGTAAAATAATTAATGGAGCAAAAAAAGTTTATATTTAATTACAATGTCCGTAGTTAAGACTGTATAGTGTCGGGAAAACATTGTACACTACAGGAAAACACACATTCTGAGAACGTAAATACAACATTCTCCTGCATCATTTATATGATAACATTCAAGAGAGTCATACAGGATCAGTACAACATGGAAATTTATCTGGCCAGAAAAAACCTCTTTATGACTCGGATGAATATTACAGGAATTGTAATATGTCTGTCATAAGGGAAGTTTAAAAGATATTTTCAAACCCCATTAAATTCGAAGATATAAGTAACTGTAAAGGAGATAATATGGAGTGCATAAACTGAAAAAGACTCCTAAATACGGTCACATTCACACTGGCAAGCAATGAGCGATGAGTGTTTAGCATTAAGTGTTGAGCGTTATCAGAAATAATTCAAACACACAGTTTTAAAAGGAAGTGTGTACACTGACCTTGACCACTGAGCAAAAGTTGTGAGAAAATGCAATGCATTGCCTTTCTAGTTACCTTAAATTGTGAGTGATAGTGTTACGTGTTGCTTACCAGTTTATTCTCACTATTGGATGTGTCACAACATACATACATATCCAAACAAAAAAATAAATTTTCCAACTCTGATAGGGAAATAATTATTTCTTAAGCACAAGCAAAACTGCCTTTGTGGAACGATGGGCACCCTGATTATAAGAAAACAGGTAAGATGTGGGAAGAAACAGGAATTATTGTGGGCTTTTTAGGTAAAAAGAACTTTTTTTTGGTATGAAGTATATAAATTCTAATTTCTGTCACTGTTATACAAAAGACAAAAAAATATATTTATGTAAATTATCCAGTCTGCTTATCCAATTGTAGAGCATGCTGTTTATCTACATTGAGGAATAATGTGTATATACAGGGTTATTCATAATTCCCTGACACATTACAAAAAATTGCTAGACTAGAATGGTGCAATGGATGGTAACATAGGACATGCCGATAGAAAGAGAAACTCTCAAACTTTATTTTATATACCTCATAAATGCTCTATGTGTTCGCCCTTTGTGCCGCGGCAGACGTCAAGCCGATAATCCATTTCTGCCCACACCCGCTCCAGCATGTCACGATCGATTTGTGAGATGGCAGCGATGATTCAGCTTCGCAGTTCAGGCAGATCCCGTGGCAGAGGCGGTAAAAAGACCTGGTCCTTAACGTACCCCCATAAGAAGAAATCACATGGCGCCAGGTCAGGTGATCGTGGTGGCCAACGAAGCAGCGCATGGGTATTGAGCATATTAAGGGATGTAAAATAAACTTGGAGAGTTTCTCTTTCTATCGGCATGTCCTATGTTACCATCCATTTCACCAATCAAGTCTAGCAGTTTTTTGTAATGTGTCAGGGAATTATGAATAACCCTATTATAAGTTAAGGTTCAGTATTTACACAAAAATTGCTGCATGAAGACTGTGAACCAAAACTGGAATCTAACATATTCACAACACAAGACTATTCTTCAAACCTCTGCAACCGAAAACCTTCCCCATTCTACTCCCTCTATCTCTATGAACAATTATAGTGAAGACTATATGAAAGGCACCTTGGATAATAATACAAATAGAGATAGGGCATGCCATCTACAACTTCATCATCTCAGTCAGCAGGTAAGTTTTCTCATTGTGCAAGCTAATACACAGAACCCACCCAGAAAAGCCAGTCTCACAAGAGATGACAGCCCAATCCTGAAGTTGATTTACACTTGGACAAAAAGTTTATATATTATCAGAGAGGGCCACCACTTCGTGATTAGCTGACTGTCATACTTGGAAAACTCGGTCCACTAGAAAATTTGGAAGTTAGAGGAAAAACAAAAAATGTGATCTAGTCATGTATATAGAAGCACAAATGCATCAAGAGTAGGTAAACTCTCAACTTACAGTTCCAGCGGTACAAAATAATAATTTATGTATAATATCCCTAAATATTGTCCTGCGCCATAGCCGCGCAGTCTGAGGCATCATGCTTCGGACCGGCGATACAGAATGCGCGGTGGTTCGAGTCTTGGGGGAGAAGAAATTTTCTCATGAGCTTTCGACCAGTGTATGGGACCGGTGCCAACCCAGCATCGTGAGAAAATTGGAGAGCTACAATGTGTAGCATAATCCGGCCAGGAAAGCTAGCGATGGCTGGGGGTTCGTCGTGCTGACCACACGTCACCCTATATCTGGTTGGATGATCGTTCACCTCTGCTTAGGCATGTGAATGTGAGGCCAGCAGTCAAGCTAGTCGGCTTTGGCTCTCTGGAGCTGTTACGCCACGGATTTAATTTAATTTTTAATCCCTAAATATTAAGATGTCTAATGCCCACAAAATATTCTCTTGCATATTTCTAATAAAATTCACTGTAAATAATAAAATAAATTCTCAAAAACATTATTAAATTAAACAGCCTTTCTTGTAGGAAAACAGGTTTCTTAAAATTAGTACTTTCTTCTGTAATTGGTATTTTACTCATGACAAAACACAGTCAAATGTTGCAAGAGACATGCAAAAACTCAAAATCCATTAGGGATCTTGCCAACATTCTCTGAACAAATGGTGAAATTCCCAACACTGCATGCTTGTGGTTATGCTTTTTATTTTAACAATTCTCTTCATAATTGTGGATCATTCAGAAGCCACAACCTGCACTGTTGCAGCTGACACTATTCTGTGTACAGTATTCACTAATAAACGTTTACCGATATAAACACCTCTCAACGCTTTTCACTCATCATTTGCCAATGTGCACACGACCTAAGTTTCAAACCAGGTGGTAAAACATGGGTCTACAGTTACCACCACCAAACAATAGCATCCACAAGAAGGAAAAATCCCTTGTTTTCTGGGACCAAAAGAAGGATGTTAAGTGTGCAGAAAAATCAGAGTGATGCTTATTGTTTTCTTCGATTATGAGAATGCTGTGTCCCATGAGCAGGTTCTACATGGTCAGACCATCATTTCTCTTTACAAGTAATGAGACATGACGCAGTGCATTATAAATGGCCACAAAAGTGGGACTCTGTAAGTAGCAACTTCACTAAGAGAGTGCATCTGCTCACCCAGTCCAGATTTGTGGCACTTCGTAGCTAAACACAATACTCCACAAGTGAGAATGTCTCTTCTAACCAGTTCCTACCTGTACATTTTTTATTTATTAAATTGAAGAATACATTAGTAAGTGGATGAATTTTAATGACTTAAAAATACAGTTATTCATATCTCCCTGACACATTATAAAAAACCGCTAGACTTGAATGGTTCAGTGGATGGTAACATAGGACAAGCCAATAGAAAGAGAAGCTCTCCAACTTTATTTTATATACCTCATAAATGCTCTCTGTGTCCGCCCTTTGTGGGGCGGCAAACGTCAAGCCAATAATCCACTTCCGCCCACACCCGCTCTAGCACGTCACTATCGATTTATGAGATGGCAGTGACGATTCGTCTTCACAGCTCAGGCAGATCCCGTGGCAGAGGCGGAACAATGACCTGGTCCTTAATGTACCACAGCATCAGATCAGGTGATTGGGGAGGCCAGCGAAGCAGAGCATGGTCATTGGCAGCCATGTGTCCGATCCAACGTTACGGAAAATGATGATTGAGGTAGCCACAGGCGGACGAGGCGGTGGTAGTGTGGCGGAGCCCCGTATTGCTGATAAATGAAGTTATCACTGTGATCATAAAGCTGCGGGATTAGCTATTCCTGCATCATCTCAAGATAGGACGTGCCAGTGATGGTTGCCTCGGCGAATAAGAATGGCCTGTACACCTTCTCTTTGGATATCGCACAGAAAATGTTCAGTTTCGATGAATCCCGAATGTGCTCAATTGTGGCATGTGGGTTTTCATTTCCCCATACCCGCACATTGTGTCTGTTCACCTTCCCATAAACGTGAAACATAGCTTCGTCACTGAAAATCAATTTTTCAGAGAAACCATCTTCCTCCAAGTGCTGCTGCAAACTTGGAGAGTTTGCATGACGCATGTTACCATCCTTTGCACCATTCAAGTCTGGTGATTTTTTTATAATGTGTCAGGGAATTATGAATAACCCTGTACTTAAACAGTTGTGGGTGCTTTACAAAATTAAGTCTGAGAGATTCTTTCAACACTGGAAGAAATTACAGAACAAGTGTGAAGAACCCTATGTTGAAGACTACTGAACTCCCCCTCCCACCTGTAAGTATAGCATCTTTATTCCCATGTAATCAGTATCAACACCTTCTAATGAAACCATGTACATGAAGTATATCTCTAATTTTTGGCATCAGATGGGCTGCGTAAATGGACTCTAGTCCTTTAACCAATCTGTACTGGACAAATGATTGTTATTTGATACACGACATTTGTGAGTTCGATGTAACATAAGTTTGTTTTAAAAACAGAAAATTTACCAGCCGATAACAATGACATGTTAGCCAAAATCATGCAGCAATCATTTCATCTCCTTGTGTTACTGCTGACAAATCTGTCAGGTATGTAACTAATAAGTGGGAAACTTGCTTTGTATATGATAAGCAGTCATTCTTATGGAATGCGGTGTGGTATGTACTGGAGATACTGAATTGGGATCATGTTTTACATTTCTGTGGACATTTATATTAACGCATTACAAAAATCACTGCAATAGTCAAGCCTGTCCAAACATTAGTAAAAAAATTCAGTCCCTACCTCAAATAAAACACATCATCTCCATTACAAATATCATTTGGTTAATGCTGTTAGCGAGATAATCACTGTTATATTCTGACAATCACACAAAACCCATAAATTCACTCTGTGGGCACAGAGCAGTTACTGATTGTTAAATCAGATGGTACGTATAGTTACCACTCAGTTTTAATGGGTTAATATGAGAAAAGCACACACAAGATAAAAAAAGTGCTGTCCGTTCTCCTGATTTCCATATTTGCAAACTGATAATGTACTTACTTTCTATAGCATTCGTTGAGTATAGACAAAACCTGCTTCAAACCCTTTGTACCAAATTCTTGTACCCAGCTGAGAGGATTATTGGTGAGCGCTATCCTTAGGGACTCTATACACCCATACAGTTTGTTGACACTGAGATCAGGTGTACTCAGGTACTGGATGTAGTCTGCAGGTTTTGAGAATTTACTGCAGTTATCCTGCAATCATACAAAGTGATGAACACCTGATCAAAGTAGAACTTGAGATTGTCAAATTATGGTTGTCTTTTGGGTTGTAGTGCTATGTAGTCTGGTAAAAGTTTACCAACGCTGTAGACGTCCTTGCTGCCTCCATCAGGAGGGTAATCACACAATGCTTCAACCCAAAAGATACGAAACAACTGGCGGAAATGGCCCAATTTGTTCACTCAATCAAACAAAAAATATTCCATATTTACAGTGAATCTGTACCTGTGTTAGTGATCCCTTAAAATGGTTGATAAGCATCATCTTCTTGTTCATAGAGGGTTGCATTCGCAATGGCTGTTTCTTTTCTTCTGATAGGTTCATGTCATTCTACAGAGAATAGATACAAATCATTATAATGTACCTAGGACAGTTTTCAGCTGTAACATATAATAAATATGAAAAAGCCAAAGAATGTGCAAACTGACTTGTAAATGTGAATCAAACCAGACAGAACATCTGTAAAGCTTAGACAATTTCAGACGTGTCATCAGGTTAGTATTACTCTGAGTGGAATTTCTGGCACTGATTAATTAATCCAAGAGCCTTAGGTTTCCATGATTGGAGTTTAATGTAAAACTTCAACTTTCAGGGATGAGCCAAAATAAATGCTAAACATTTTTAATTACTTCACCAAACAACACAGATGTCACTTTCAGGGTCAATGTCTACATGGGGGGTGGGGGAGGAAGAGGTATTGCTAGGAAAAACACAGATCTGTGAGAGTGTCACTGGGCGAGAGAGAGCAGAGAAGAGGCACGCTAGCCAGTCCTCCAAGAATGATTGTAAAGAAAACAGAGATGATGGGTACAATTAGGTAAAAATGAACAAACAAAATCTTGAATTCAACATGGAACTTCAGAACTTCACTACATCATCCTTCAACAAGCATTTTCTGGAAATTTTTGAAGTTTGAAAATACTATGAAAGTTGTAGTGTCAGCTATGAACTTTATTTGATGTCATGGACTTAATCATGTTTCGATCTATTTTTTGTTACAAATTTGTGCTAAACATGGATATGTCTTGTAACATACAGAAGTCTGATGGATGAGTTGTATGGCAGCGTTGACATTTTTCAGGCTTGAGGACAGAAATAGAAATGTTCATAAATGAGAAATGTAAACTTTCTGCTGAACTTAGTGATCAGAAGTGCCATTGGGATTTGGCATTGCTGTGTGATATCATCCACCATGTAAATGACTTAAATACCAAATTTAAAGACACACAGGAACTCATTTTTTATATATTTGGGACCGTCAGAGCTTTTAGCTTTTGAAATGAACCTGAAACTGTTTCAAAAACATTTGGAAAATGTTATACTATGTCCTTTTTCTTCCTGTGAGCTGATTCACATGGATGAATCAGTAATTATTCTCTTCCCAAATGTACATGCTGTTGAAATGACCGATTCCTTGGCTCAGAATTTTAAAATGAAATTCAATGACTTTTGTAGCTATACACCACAAACATATATCTTTGAAAACCCATTCTCTGTTGAAGTCAGTGGTGCTCCAGTAGAAATCATAACTTGATGAACTGCAGTATAACTCAATTCTGCATAGCAGCTTCAACCATGAAGCTTTAATTAGTTTTTATGCTTCTTTAACAGCATCTCAGTTCTCTGCATTATGTAACGTGACATAAAATTTTGTATGTGTATCTGGCAGCACATATACATGTAAACAGGCTTAATAAGAACAGGCATATGAAACCAAACAAAGCAAGGATCTGTTCAAGAATCACTGATAAGCACTTATATTATGTGATGCAAATTCACATTTCAAAAATTGAACAAAATGTCAATTTGATGAAAGACTCTCAGATTATAAGCCACGTCAGGTAGCTGAATGGTGAATAAACCGTATCTTCTGCCAACGTTTCGAGAACAATCTCTGCTCCCATCCTCAGGGCTGCTGCATAGCAAATCTGATCCTTTGTAGCAGGGCTGTGGAGTCGGAGTCATGGAGACGGAAGCAATTTCAGGTGGAGTCGGAGCCGGAGTCGGTAAAATGTACCAACGCCAACTCTGATATGAAATCTTAGGAAAATATTATTTTAACACTATCACTATCATGTGAGCCGCTGGCAGCCTCACGCTTAGGGAGATTCATGGCATTGCGCCACATGGTGTTGGAATAATCCTTTGTAACTTTGGCTCTGGTTCCTTAACAATACAAACTGTCTACAAATCAACCGATTTCTGCAGTAACCATTAGACTTATATTTAAATATAGGTTATAAGTCTAAAAAGTAGCCTGATGATTCACGTGGTGATGATGAAATATCTTGTGGTACCATTTACCATTTTAGTAGGTTTACCATTATTAATACATATTCAGCTTTTATGAGGGAGTCTGTGTCAGAGTCGAAGATTTTAGTACCGAATCCACAGCCCTGCTTTGTAGCATGCAGCTTGCAATCCGAGAGTCTTTCATGAACTTCAGTCGCTGTGAAAGCTTCACTTTATACATCAAAATGTAAATTCCCTTGCGCAGTTTCCTTGTGCAGCAAAGGCAGGCCCAAGTTTCACATTAATAATGAAATATATTTGAAAGCTCTGGCCCTGTAGCATATCATATCTTTCAATGTGACCCAGCTGCCGAAAAGGCTGGGTATCTCTGCTTTACAGTATAACTAACTCTATTCATTCCTAAAGAAATCTGAATACAAACCAGCATCTCCTCAAATTTTTCATTCAGAAACTTCTCATCAGCATCAAGTTGCTCTACAAAGAGCTCCTGCTCTTCCACTTCATTGAAATCTGACTCCGAGTGTGGCCGGGGGAGTTGGCCACTACCCCCCCGGCCCTTCTCCTTCTTTTTCGTCCCAAACCATGTGTCCAGCTGCAACACAAAAAAATTATTACAGTGTGAACAATGTATGTCTTGTATGCATACTGCAAATAATCTTACACTTAAAAAAAATCAGGTAAAAGCATTCTTAACCTTGGTACCAGATGGGGGAAGTGGTCAGTTTCACACCCTGTCCACTTTACTCTGAGCAAACCCAGTAACCACTGGACAGAAGCCACGGTGAACCCAAGACCTAGTCTGGGACATTGTGGTAAAGGGATCATTTCATGTCAAGTCAACAAATGGATGTTGCAACACTGTCACAAGATTTCGTTATACTTGTCGATCTTAATGTATGACTCCTTAAGAAATATTAATAGTACACAAAGAGTGAGCTTCATTCATGTTATTCTTTCACAGACATTATCAATGTTCACTGATCATATGAGTACACAAAAGAAAAATCTCACATATGCTATTTTCAGAAACTTAGCATAATATCTCTGGAACCTTCAATTATATTCATATTATTTCACCCTGAAATTGTAGACCTATAAGAATACTTTCACGGCATTTTATTTTGTTATTACTGTTATCCAACGTGAGTACGTATTTCAGTTGGAACTAGTCACAAAACTACATCATTTTCACGAGCTAACCAGAAATGGAGATTTATGATGTCACATGCTTCCGAACCGTTACAAGATGCAAGTATGAAACTATCACTCGATTTCTTTTTACTATGCGAGTGTTAAAACTTAGAAAATAGAAGTATTTAAATGTTGTGTGGGGCAGTGACACAATTATAATCAAAAAAGTATACGTATTTCCTGTCACTGACTGGAAGAATATTATGTACTGTGGAGTAATTTTAGCAAACTACACTAATTAAAATTTGTTTAGGTAGCTAGACCATAATTCAGTTCTAGGACCATATCTGGTTCATGGCTATCATTTGTTTGACCCTGCAGTGAATACAGACATCGAGTTTTAACATATAATTGCAGAGTTCAAGTTATTTGCTTACATACATACAATGTGTGTAGATTAGTATGGACTGCTGTAATGCAATAGCACTGAATTAATCTAGCATAAAATCTCACCATTACGACATACCATGAAACAGTTCAATCCAGTTAACATTCCCACAAACCCACATTGCTAAGACGCATTTCGATACTGCCCTCCTGTTTCATTCTAGGTCTTTCAAATGGTACTGTCCTTTGAAATGTTCCATCCAAAATTTTGTTTTATCTTTTATACATTCATGCTTCATGCCCAAATCATAATCATTTCACCACTCTAACATTATTAGGAGTTTATACAAAGATAACATAAAAGTAAAAAAAATATATTTTAACATCTTTCTTACACAAACCTTGACAAATCCAGGCACCAAATCATGCCAACATTTAAATTGTCAATGTAACATCTATTTTTAATAATATTGTATCTTAATTATTAATATTATCAAGCTGATCAGCACTGGTGATAACACATCTGTAATCCCAAATAAATTAACTTTTTGTCCAAACTCATCAAGTGATTCTGGAGTTCAAACAGATGAGCATTACATTTTTGGCCTAACCTTCCAGAAGCAAGCACTTAACAGCAGTCACATAAACACTCCTCCTCAAATCATCCTATATTTCAGCTTTCTCTTACAACTACAATGTCATCAAATGACCTTCTCTTGTAAAAATATCTTACATCATTAAAATAAATATAACACATATTTCCAGCACCTGTTTCATTTAAGAGGTCAAGTTATTTCTCGCTGCTAAACAAAGTCATCCACTATAAAGTACATCATAATACCTGAAAAACATTACTGATCAGATACATTTCAGTGCAGTGCGTATGGTACTGACTCCACTGGAGAATAAGACACAACTGGATCCTGAGAGAGGAATGTAACTACAGGTGATGGGACTATGGTGCAGCAAGGCCACACTGGAGGCAGACAGGAGTGGCAGCAATTCAACCTGACTCAACATTATGTCACTCCCCTTCTTGGTGATTTGATGACACTTTATCAGTTGCAGATGTTTTATAACATGAACTGACTGTGAATTGGAAAACTGGAAAGTGATTGGGAGCCATTTTAAAATAATATCCTGCCTGTAACAAACTATGTAACTAACAAATTCTGTTACTGTCTCACACAACAATAATGGCAGGTTTATTGACTTCAATGTTAAATGGGAGCTGTTCAGATTTGTATCAATGGTGTCTTGGGTATTATTCCTACCAAATGCCCAAGGATTAATTATGAATCATAATGAGTTTCATCTGTGACAGCTGTCATCATCATCATCATCATCATTTTGTAGTAACAGGCATCCTGTTCAAATAATACTGCGTACATATTAAGATGCCATTTGTATTCCGAATTCAGAGGACAGACCGTGTGGCCATATATCGATACCAAACACAGTGAATAATGGTACTTCCTTTCTAGGTACATATTATGGCCAGCAACCGCTTAGACAAATCCTCACCCACCCACACACAACACCATAAGCAACCATTCCTCAGGTTAGGGCTTGGAACATATCGACCAAAAGGGTCATTTAATGATGTAATAACAAAATCAAAATTACTTATCTTACGATTAAGGACATATTTTTATTATTAATAATAAATGTAGAGCGACAGGGAAAGAAGCGATTGTGGCTCGTTTCGCAAGGAACAAAATCCGACTACAAGCTCTTAAGAAAAACAAGAGAAATTATATCAGGATAACTGATAGTGTGTGTAGATGGTGACTCTGGCAGAAGAGTCGAATGCTATTCCTGATGCGATCCGTCGACCCATAAAGCTAAGTGCGCAATCACAAATGCCCTCTCTAGAAAAAAGTTTGCTAGATTCAAGATTCGGGTGAAAACGTCTTTCAGAAAAATCATTAAAGTCAAATACGAAGTCCTAATCCATCAAACACATTCAATTCAGTGTACATTTCACGCATAGTGTGAAACCAGACAAAATAAACAACAGTTCCCGGTAAAAAAATCACTAAAACAATATTTATAATTATACAAGCACGTTGGTTTATCTGAGGGTCAAATATATGCAAATAAAACCTAACGTCAACAACGAAACTTGTGTTTGAAATGTGGGGTTCTCACGGTGGTGAAAACATGGACTGCGGTCTTCAAACCTCAGATCAGCTGCATCGTTCTCTCCAATCGTTGATGCCCCACAGCCCAGTTCAATCCATGCCGAGATATTACCTCAATGCTTAGTCCTGTCCCCAATTGCCATCATGTGCCTACTGGGAACGCATAATGAGGATGATCGTCCACATGCATAACTCGATGGATTTCGGAAGTTTGTTGTTGGGATCTACACTTAAGTCTAACTTCTACCGTAAATGCTAATAACAAAATATATGACTACAAGGCCTCACAGTTCAGAAGATCACGTTCAAAATTTCCACAGCCACGAATATTTCAAAAGTTTAGTGATATTGGCAGTAGTTAAAAGTAATTCTGTTTCTAGAGTCATATTAACATACGACGACAATAGTTATGTCAGAATCACGTTCTTCGCTTATCAGAGTAAATCCCTAGCAATCGCTACGAAACAAAAATACCTCTCTCTTGCGACCTACGTAGGAAGGAAGATACATCAACAGTGAACATGTTTACGCATATGTACGGTCAAAAAAATATATACAATACGTATCAATTTTAAAGGTAAAAATACAGACATTTCCGCATCAACGTGAACTGAAATTTTTATTGATATAGAACATAACCTCAAATTAATAAACGGTAATAATCACCCAGTGTATGTGTGTCTTCCAGTTGAAGCCAGAGGGACATTTACACAAACCTTGTCTACCTTGACGTGTTTTTTAATTATTTTATTTTATTTATATTCCACAAAAAACCGCATGTACAAACTTCTCAACTATCCTATTATGATCTCAAAGATATGAAATAAATGCCAAGTAAACATTCTGATAAGAGAATGTTAATTATAATTTTCCATTAAAATAAAAGCAGTTCGAAGCAATTTTGTGATATAAATAGTTGTTACGATCATTTTCAATAAAGAGCGGCACTATAGCTTACCAGCCGCAGAATGCAGACCCCTGATAGTGGAGAACAAGGTTCAAACCGGCCCACAACGACAAAAAGGACACACGAGAGTGAGACAGACGCCAGACCTCCATAACTCTCCAACAACAAACTCATACGTCACAGAACTGACATGCTAACCAACCTTGCAGAATATCTCGTGACCTTAAAAAATACTAATGCCCAGACGACATCAAATCATTCTAAAATGATCAACCTAATTAAAAGGGGTACATTTTTAAAATAAAAATTTAAGCACTGAGTCCAAATAACAGGTTCTTTTGAATGCCTGAAGACGGGGATTTTAGTAAAATTAAATTGTTACAAATAAAATTTGATGTACATGGATTATTAAAAACGTTATACACTGTTTCGCTCTGTATTTCCCTACCTTCTACCTACTTTCGAAAATCATTAAAGCCGAGAATCACATGACACATGCACTTTTTCAAATTTTCTATCCCTCTTTGTATGTCAAGAACTCTGGTTCTTACGAACGCAATGTCATTCAGGAGTGACATCACGCGATGACATCATCACGATATCGCTTACGTGCATGAGCCATAAATTCCCTGCAAGGTCGTCCGGTGGGCTTTTTCAGGGATGGTAAAGTACGAGTACTGACGTCATCGTCAAGCCTCGTTCACACTGGTTAAAACTACTTGAACGCAAGTCGCTCGAAGACAAAAACTTGAAAGGACGAGACTGGTGTGAACTGTGCTTCAAGAACGTCTCAGATATACTGAAAGGACTGTTTCAATCAAGTCTCAAGAAAGAAAGACACCAGTTCACGTTTTTACTTAACTTGAATATCAACTCGAAAAAATGTATTACTACTAGACTATCCGGTTTACTGGAACGTATAAGACATCTGTTTATTTCCGCTGGTAACACACTGAACGGCTATAATTTACTTTTGTTAACATTTCTTATTACGAACGCTCATAAACGTAGTTATGACATATGCATATTTTTTGAGTGCACGAAATGTTATGGAATGTTAAAAGGAAAAGTATCGCTACAGAAATGAGAGAGGCGAATGAATGAGACGTAAATTACGAAAGAAAATCAAGATTTAAGGGTTAAACGCTGATTACGTTGAAAAACAATCAAGATGATAAAAATAAGATGGCTGTCTTCTGGGTTGTAGCGCCATGTAGTCTGGTAGAAGTTTACCGACTCTCCTTGCTGCCTCCATCACCAAGGCGGCAAGAAGGACCTCAGAAACGTCTGTAGACTTCTACCAGACTACATGGCGCAACAAACTAGAAGACAGCCATCTTCAGACTCACCGCCGTGAAAATCTCAAATACTATACAGGTAGCCCTCGATTTGCGCCGATTCAGAACAACGCCGATTTTGAAACCAAGTCAAAAAGTGAAAAAAATACTATTATTTATAACGTTTTACAATGTACCTCGTACTGATTCTTATTTATTTATATTATTTTTTTAGTGTTCTGCCTCACGACAGGTCCATATGAACAGGATCCTTCCATCCTTTTCTCGGACTGGGACCTGTTCATATACGTTCTTGGCAGATGATCCAGAAGTGGTTTGCCATTGCCTTCTTCTGTGTGTGAATGGAGTAATTGTTGGGATGCCACGGAGAAACCGGGGAAGCCCCCGGAGGAAAACTCCGTGTTGCCTAGACCACGGCCTTGCCCAACACAAGTTATAAATTCGGGCACCGCCGGGAATCGAACCCGAGACCCCAGGATTACAAGGCCAGCGTTCTAACCGCTAGATCACCGTGGCAACACTGATTCTTATACTAAATCGTAATTTTTACATCGCTGTTTTTGAATGAATATAGACGTATTTACGTCAAAAATATACTACTTATAACTACTTATAGTACAAGGCTGACTTCTGGGTTGTATCGCCGTGTAGTCTGGCAGAAATTTGCCATCCCAGAAGACAATCTTCGTGAGAACCTCAGATTTTTCCAACTAACTCCCTGGTACCAGAACCCGCAAGTCCAATGCCCGCCACCGGACACGATCCTGAGCCACCTCCCTAAGACCCATCTTAATATTATCCTCCCATTTCCTCCTTGGTCTGCCCAGTGGTCGTTTTGCAGGATTCCCTACCAAAATTCTGTATTCAAATCTTGTCTCCCCCGTGCGTGCTACAACTCGAAGTTCAAAATATAACTAAAACACGTCGTAATTTATTACTGTATATACAATTGCCTCCCTTGTACGTGTCGATAAGAGGCGTGTGGGAATTTCTTTAATCCGACAGACAGCTGTGTTGTAACATAAGAAATGCGCCATGTCCAAACACATTAATCTGC